TTTCTTACCGCGTCACGTTTTCCCCTCTTATATATATACCAGCCTACCCTACTAGTAAATACTAGAGCATTCGCCAAAGTACATGATAGTTCTAGAAACGTTGCGTCACAGTAGTCATGTGACTGCTGACGCAACAATATTAACAATTAAGCTTACCCTTTTAACTACTGCCCTTTTAATTATTCATAGCCTAATTCCATTGTAATAAGGTCTTTACTGCCTGACGAAGGGCGTCTGCTCGAAACGTCGAACACAATAAACCAGAATAAGTTTTCATTTAGACGTGTTAATTTATTATTTACTAGCATAAAATACGCACGCTCTGCTGCGGGATTCTAAGTTTCCCTCATGATTCACAGATGCCTCAATGTACCAGTCAAGCGTCTCGATTATCTTTGATTATTTCTATATCTACCCCAATGTGTTTGTTTGTTTGTTTGTTTTAATTATGCACAAAGCTCCACAAGGGCTATCTGTGCTCTGCCCACCACGGGTATCGAAACCCGGATTCTAGCGTTGTAAGTCCGCAGACAATCCGCTGTGCCACTGGGGGCACCCCAATGTGACAATTCTTTAATTGATGTGTCTGTTGCCATTTCCTGAACTTCATTCAATTCAACTATTTTTAAAAGAAATAGTTTTAAGTTAGTTTCTGAGATTCGCTTTCTCTTTCTTTGTATATATTTTGCTTCTTTTCATTCCCGAATTCTCCAATATTCTCTGATTCGTATTTTTTCTTTCCGTTGTTTGTTGCGTTTCCCAAACTTAGTTCAGTTCAACTTTATTTAATTCTCAGATTTGGATTTTTCTTCCCATGCTTGTATTAAGAAAGAGTATTTAGCAGAAAACCTCAACATATTGTTCATTAAGTAAATAGGAATTAGAAATAATATGACACTTTTTTACAGACCTCCAGGAAGCAGAATTTGGCCAAATTTTTTGTGTGTTAAATCTGAAAAATAATATCTAGGTGCTCACCCTCAGAATCTTCTGAGTTTCAGTTCTCGTGTTTCTTATCTTTTGGAGCTATGGCGGTCAGAAGCACAAACGGGCTCTTTTATTATAGATTATCATTTATCTGTGCTCAGCCCATTGTTGGTATCAAAACCTGATATTTTAGCTTTGTAACCCGTGAGACTTTTTGCTTAGCAACTAGGGTGCAGTGGAATTAGAAAAGAACTACGAAATTTTTGGTTAGCACATATTCTAAAGTATCTAGTGACATTAAAGTTTTACTTTTAATTATTTCTATATTAACTTAAGTTTGATAACATTGTAAGGAACTTCTTAGGAATGGCTTTAAGCGATTAATGTTTATAGTTACAACAAAAAAATTGTGAATGTCTGTGTAATTCTGCCAAATATAGGTCGCGTCCATCTAAAAAAATATTGTAAATTTTCACGTAATGTAATATTGTGTTGTACAACTACAACAGTACTAGTTTTAGCTTAAAATTTTATCGATATTGTGAAACTTAAGCCTATGCTTAATGTGTTATAATATTTACGTTGATCACTTATGCATGTACGTTAATATTAGTCTTGAAGTTAAAGGCCAAAATATGAAAATTGTGAGATTTTAACTTAAGCCTATGCTTAATGTGTTATAATATTTACGTTGATCACGTATGCATGTACGTTAATAATGGTCTTGAAGTTAAAGGCCAAAATATGAAAATTGTGAGATTTTAACCAAGGTTCTACGTTTGTTTTCATGGTGAAAAACAACATATAATTTTATATTTTTTAAAAAATACATAAAAATTGTAATTTTTTTTAAACTGAGTATGCCATTTAGTGAAATCACTTTTTATTTAGTTTTTAATATTAACTACGTTTCACTTTTAATAGTTCTTAAAGTTATTTTCAATTGCCAATAAAGCATTGTAAAATAATTTAGATATTTGAATAATGTTAGAGCTTGTGCTGAAATCATTATTTCACATTATGTATCAGACCAAGGATTTAATGACTACCTATGTATGTTACACATTAAGCTCTACATCACAGATTCTCCTTTCAGTTTTACCTTTGGTGAAGTTGAAAAGAAATTTGTAACATATATATGAAGGTTTCACTTTGTTCATCAATGCACATCTGGTACTATAGTATAGGCCCTTGTCATATGGCAGCATTATTTCAACTTCAACTCAAGTGGAAAACCTTACTTGCCCTGTATAGCTATTTTATTTCTAAATCAAATTTTATAGTATATCATAGGATTTGACTCCCTACCTGTTTACTACCTTAAAGCAGTTGCAAGTTTATTAAAGTGGTTAAAATAATTTTAAAATCTTACCTTGTTTCTTGATCACTAATATTTCCAAACATTCTAGGTATTCTAGGACTACTTTTATAAACTTACTTGAGCTTAACATAGTGCACCCTCTTGCTAGCATCTAAATTTTGACATTGAAAATATAGCTTAGAACACTATTTTCTTTAGCCTTGTTCCGTTACTTTGAGCCTGAAAGTTGAATTCACAGGCTTTGTACAATAAGCCTACTTTAGCTTTCATCATGCTCATATTTTAGCTAATTTTGTTTTCTCTGCCATGTTTAGTCATTTTGAAACAATCATATCTTCTTGACTGTGTGCTTGATTATTCTTAAGTATAAATAATGAAAATCTTCTACAAAGTCTTTTTTATTTGTGTTTGCAATCTCACAGCATTTTGAAGAAGTATTACTGAAGAAAATGATCTTGGCATAGCGGTAGATAAGTCACTGAAGCTATTAAGGCAGGGGTGTGTTTCTAGTAGTAATGTTAATAGAGTTTTGGGATATATTTGTAGACATATTAATTAAAAAAAGGTAGTTATCTCTGTACAAGCCACAAGTTAGGCCTCAAATCTTATGAAAGTTTTTATAAGGCTTTCTGGGGACACTGATAGAATAAAGGCCTTTTGAATTGTTTGTACAACTTTTAAAAATAATAGAATGAGAATACACAAGTTTAAGTTTTGTAAAACCAAGCTAGGCCCCAGTTTAATATTTTTACCAGAGTGATTATTAGCTGGTGAAATGGGTTGTCAACAGCAGTAGAGTTTATAGAAGCAGTTCATGATTTATTGAAAATGAATAGGGGTTTGATTTTTATTTTCTGTTTTTGAGAGCAGGTGTACAGGGGCAGCTTTGAATGACCAAAGTCTTTGTTTTTTTTCCTGTTTCTCTCAAATAGTTGATTTCCTTTATTTTCAGCAGAAAAATAATTTCAAGATTCTGATTCAAGAGCCCAAAATCAGAAGGTATTTATTGGAAGATGTTTACTTGCTCACTTGTTTAAACTGACAGTGGAAATTTACTTTTAGAGGGAAGGTTGTATTTAGAAAAATTACTTGTTAATAATAATTTTTCAGTAAAACCATTAAGAACATGAGATTATAAGAATGCACAAGATATTGTATAATGGTAGAGCTTGGTAAAACTTAATATTTGATAAATTCATTTGTATTAATGATATACAACAAAATGAAAAATAAGATGAGCAGAGCTGTAAAACTAAAAAATAAATAAATAAAAATATACAATTTGTAAGATGTAAAAAAAAAGTTAGTATATTTATCTATGCCCATGCTGTGTATACTGTATATCAACATTTAAGTTACTATAGGGATCACCATTATTTATATATATTATACAAACAGGAAGGCAATATAAAACCATCACCACTTTATTTACAGAAAATATTTTGTGATTTTTACTTTCCTCTTTGCAGTATTCAAAATTTAGAAGTTGTTTAAACTGATCATAAATTTTTGATATATATTGTGCCTTTAGCCTTAACCATATTTTCTATCAAGTGACTGTTTTTAGTTTTTCTTTTTTATATGTCTTTTCACTTATTGCATTTATTTCTGGCAAGTAGAAAGGAGCTAAGGGAAAGGTATAGATAAGAATATTCAAATTATTCAACCAAAACATTTTGTAAGAAGACAGGAAGGATGGAAGAAGGTAAACATGATTTGTTATTAAATATTGCAGTGTTTAATAGAAATATTATCACTATGTAAAGGCTGTAATTTATATAATATAAATGCTCTTGAGCTTACAGAATAATGTGTTAATAAGACTTACTTTTGCATGTCAGTACTAAAAATAACCAGATATAAATATCTTCATATTTATATCATGTGCTAATAGTTGTATACAGCAAATGTGTATGTACATACAAGTGTGAATAAGGTACATTTATGCATGGGGAGTTTACTGAAGAAAGAAAAAATGATGATTATATAAGTATCGTATTTAATAAATAAGACCTTTTGTATTATGCTTGATAATTTACAGAAGATTTTGGATACCTAATGGTTGGAAAAAATAAATTAATGAACAAGAAAAGTTTGATAATTTTTGGTTGTGGATGTAACTGATGTGTTACGTGTAGATGTAGATTGAAATAAGGCAGAACAGCAAGCTTTATTCTGTATTTGAAATTCTATTATCTACAGTAGATGGTATTTTTAAATCATTGTTTTTATTTAAAATTTGAATTGTCAAATCTCTTTCTATAGGTTAAACCAAAACTTAGAATATTTTTCAATTTTATAAAATAAAATTTAGTTTTTCTTGAAAAGAATGAAAAATTATTAGTGACAATATATGGTGACATTCTTTATTTTTGTTTTAAGAAATATAATTCATTAAACTTTTTTCATTGAGGACAGTGATATGTAAATAATTTTATCTGATTCCTTTTTTTCTGGAATTGTATAATACACTTAGTAAATTGTTTTTTAAACATTAATGTAAAATAAAGAAATTACCTATTACACAGTGACATTCTTCATAATATTTACTATTAATAATCAATGCATCTTTTTTATCCCAAAAGGAGTAGGTTAAAGACCAAAAGTAAAATGTATTATTTGTTTTTCGCCATAGTTGCTAGAGTTTCATGTTTTTGCATATTTTGTTTATTTATTTTTTTTAATTATTTGAATATCCATGTTGTTTGTGATTTTCTGTGTTCACTGGTCGTATTAAAATTTAGGATTGACCGAGTCTGTGGAACTTGTTTTTTCTAACTTAATGTGGTCTTAACAGTTTTACTGAGTTGTTTAAAATGTAGGAAACCAAGTTGTAGTTTTAAGAAGTGTAAAGTGATGTACTTAAAGTATGGAAATTAGAAAATTATTATGTGAGAGAAACATTAGTGTGATGAAGAGAAAAAAAGGATTTTGGTGCATTATTTACAAATGTCCAAAACCACTAGCTGTGTAGGTTTTACTAATAGAAATTCTGTAATTGTAACTTTGTAAAGATGGTGTACTATGTTTGTTTTCCCTCATATTGGTAAGAGAGCAGAGATAGGTTACTAGAGTAATATCTAGTTTTAAGAATTTGAGCTATAAAAGGAAGTTGAAATACTTGTATTCTTCAAAGTGTACATGTATTAGAACTACATACATGTATTGTGGTGCTTTGATTTCTGTTTTCAAGAATTTTAGGGATTTGAATAGTGTGTGTGAGTGGCCTTTATGTGGTGAATGGTAAAAGTTGGGAATATTAAATTTAGTATTAGAATGTAATAAGTAATAAGTATAGGCTTTGGAAATGCAGATCTGGACTTGTTTTCAAGCAGAATTATATCTCAGTGTTATATGCTTCATAAACATTTGGGATATGGTGGACATTGTGCTATTACTTTAAACTTTTTTTTTTTTTGTTAGGTACAGTGTATATAAACAACAATGTATGGTGTGGGTTAGTTGTATTTTGGCAGGTGAAGGAGTAAACTCAGTGCTGAAAAGTTTTCTATACCTTGAGTGCTCATAAGATCTTAAAATTCAAAAATTTGATTTTGAATCATTTTTCTGTTATAGGTGGATTGTAGATTAGAAGAATATTGATTCTTTGTAGTCTTATTTATCTTGAACTAACTAACTACAACCAACTGAATGTGCATGGGGCTGGTCCATTGTACGGGAGAAGTAATAGTGATTGTAATTCTGAATTTACAGAATGTATCTTCATGAAATGTGTCAAGCTTTTAGTCAACAGTATAAGTCTGTTGTACACAAAAAAATCTAATGTATTTTCAAAAGTTTTTGTACTCAAGATATGTCTATGAAATGGCAAAGTCAATCTGACTCAAACTCTGACAAATTGGAGTTGAAGGTGATGTTCGTATAGCCTTACCGACTCTCTAGGATTTGCCAGGAGTCTCCTAGAATCACATATTTTTCTCTGCTCCTGGAATGCTTAACGTATCTCCCGGTTTCTAAAAAATACCCATTAAAACAGAACAAAGCTTTTTCAACTTTTTTCTCCTTGCAAGTATAAAACACCTTAGTATTCCTTGGAGAATGTGCATCTCATGTTACAATTATATGTTGTATGAGCTGCTCACAAGCATAGTTTGTGAATAATTTTTATTATTCTTATTTTTCATTATGTTGCCTAACCTAAACTTATAAAACCTAATAAATTTGGAATGTTTACACTTTAGTTACTTTTATAATAATAGATAAATAATACACATGAAAAACTAGAAATATTGTTCTTATTTGTGTCCCCCTTTATTTTTCTGTCGACTGTTAATAAGACTTAAGCTTATTTTTTGAAATTAATGGTACTGCTACACTAATTTTTTTATTTAATTGAATAATACACCTAAGAACACAGAATGATAACATGCACAAAACAGACAATGCCCTATAACTATCATAATTTTTCTGGCTTTCTAACTATGCCGTAAGAGCCTTTAAAAATTCAGCTAAGCTTGTTGGTGTGGTTTCTGTGAGAAAAATTTTAAACTGGAAGCAAAATAGACACTTCTCTGCACAGTAAACAACATAATATAATATATTGTTTGATAGAGTAAAACTTTGCTTTCTATTGATTATAAATAATACAGCATAAAACATCAGAGAGAACTTGGCAACTTGGAAAAGAGAGAGGATGTGGCAGGTGGGCGTGGCATTTACCTCCTGGAATTGTACTTAAAAAAAATTGGCAGGGTTATGTTCATGTGAAGAATATGAACACTTTGTCCATTGTACAGTTTGCAAGTTGCATTTGAATAACCTCCACGACTTTTTCTCTACTCGTAACATAAAACTGTTGTGAAATCAGCAATGTAGATAATCTGAAACATTAATAATTTTGACATCATATTCGTAACACTGTGTTGAATGGCACTCTGTACAAGGTTGAGGCATGCACACTTTGACCCCCACTTATGCGTATAGAGTTAAAGGTGCAACTTGCCTTATACGAGAAATTTTCAGTTTGCGTATGAGAGTGCTTATTGTCTATAAGTCAATAAATAGCTCATTATGAAACATGAAATCACATTTGTAATAGGAATGTTATTTATTAAAATATTTTAAAAACCTGGCCAGTCATTAGAGGTTTAATCCTACTTCTATTAAGGGCACCTTCTTTGGTTAGTATAATCATTTAGAAACTAGTATTTAAAATTCACTAAATAGCCAGATGATTGTAAGTAGCCCAAATTTGATGTAACTTAATTGCTTCTTCTTTGAAAATGAAAAAGGTCTAGTGTACAAATTCTTTATAAAACTTAAATCTTGTACAATACATCAATATAATCTGGTCAATTGATATACTTATTTCTTCTGCAGAGGGTTTGCTGTAAATGTAATATAAATACATGAAAGATTAAATGATCATAACACCTGTTTATTGTTGATCTTAACATAATGGTTTTGTATTCATTAATTATAATTTAAATTTGGTGTTACACATAAAAGCCTTCTAATTTGTAATTCCTTTAATTAGGAGGACTTATTATTTAGTTAACAGTACTCTGTGTTTCTTATCGTGTTATTTTTTTTTTATTTCTGCTTTAGCCAAACCATCTGAGAAAACTAACTCAGGGCTCCGGGTGTTTGTACCAGTTCTTGTTGGGATAGTGTTTGGAATTATATTTCTGTGCTTGTTGGTATGGATTGTTAGAAAAATTATAGAAAGGTAAGTACCAGTGCTTGAAAATTGGATTTGAAGTGAGAAGTGTATTTTTGTACTGGTATACAATGAGTGAATTGGTTTAATTAAAATTTTATTTGAAGTAAAAATGGTAATTTTTATACATCATGCCCTCAGCTTGAAAAGGAACTTTCACTTAGTAAAATGTTCTTCAAATAAATTATTTCTATTCCACTGATATTAGGTATAGTTTCTTCATTTAAAAAAATCATTGTTCCAATTCTTGTATCATCATTTTTGTATTTTCCTAAAACAAATGTACAATGTCTTTGAATTAGCTATTCATTGCAGAGTTCAGATATATAGAATTACTCAGAAATAGTCTGTTAATCAAATTTGCACCCCATATTGTAGAACGAATTTTGGCTATTATTATAAATTTATGATGTGTATCTACATGAAATGTGGCAGGCTTTAACTCTTTTGACGTGGGCTCGGTCCCTGGGACCAACCTCATAACCATTTTGTGCTTGCTATAGTTTTCATGCTATAACTTTTAATGTTTTAAGTGTATCTTTACAAAATTTTGTAGACTTGTAGTAAACATTAGAAGCCTTTTGCACACAAAAAAGATCAGATTTTTTAATGAAATATTTTTACTTATATTTGTCTGTGAAAATATTGATTCTTTTTTTTAACTAGTCTGAGTGCAAAGTGATTTTCATTTTAAGATTTAAAATACTTTTGTTTGTTTCAAAAATCTCGAATTTCATTTGAACAACCTCTGAAACCTCCTAAATACATATATACCTTTTTTTTTAATAAAACATTATATTTTACCTGTTATTACATTTATTATTTGATTCTTCAGTCTGTAGACAACTCACTGAAGTAAAATGAAAAGAAAAATTGTAAGATCAGAAATATAATGAGCAGCTGTTTCCTTTTTCTTCATTACTGATCATGAAGTTTCAAAGTTCTTCCCCTAACAGTTTCAACTGCTAAATATATCCCATATATTTACTGTGTTTATTTTACTGTCACAGACAAATTACAAACTCGCTGACAAAAAAGCAACAATTCACCACCCATGTTATAAGACACAGTGTTTACGGACAACCGTAATACGAAACTCTTGAGCACAAAAACACACGCGTATTCAGTGAGGTGACATTCCCCTTGCTATGTGAACACAATATGGGATATCACAGTTTATAGTTCCTACAACACTTTCAACAGGAATTTCCCAGGGTAATAAAATTGCAAGTAGAATGTGTAAAAACATTTATTATATGGTTCAGAGTTGGGTTTATCCAATAAACATTGTAGGTTCTGAGCCAGGCTTATCCAGTTACATAGCAGGTGTTTCAGTACTATGGTCATCCATTTGATGTGTGTGGAATTTCGCAGCATAAGTATATGAAGGTGTTATTTGGGCACATTCTTATAAATGTTACTACCATCTCTCACTTTCACCACACTTAGAAAGTAAATGAAAAATACACTGACAAACAAAGATTTTGATTACGTAACCGTGTTATGAAATGTTGCGCTCGTGTGTAAAACTTGCTAAGCCTTGACGTAAGCCTCGTTTATTCTTCTGGGTGGAGGGGGTAGAGATACTAATTTTTTTAGGCTTCAAAACAAATATGAATTTTTGAAGACCAAAATGTTATCAAATTACTGTACTGCTCAAAATCCCTGTAATGTAGTCGGGTCTCTAAACAAACTGTATGTGGGTTTAAAAAAATCTCATTCCTGTTCAGAGCAACGACTAGATCATCACACTTCAATGGTTTTGGCAAAATTATTATTTTCTCCTTCAAGCTATTTATAAACAACCATAGAGCTATGCAGGGGTGAAAATGTTCTTTCTGTTGGTTATAAGCAGTAGCTAATTAGTAATAGGTGGGACTAAATAAGAGCTTTCAAAAGATTGGTGCAGCAGGAGGAGCCACTCTAGTAGACTCGCTAAAAATATTGTTATCTCAGCAAATCATATAGTAGGGAGGTTCTTATTTTATATTTAGCTTGTCTATATTTCAACTTTGAGTTTCTAATTCATTAGCTACTTATACATGTTTCATGGTGGGCATAATAAAATGGCAACTGAAAAATAAGACAACTGGATGTGTTATGTGGCACACAAAATCGATATTTACAATTTTTTTCTTTACATTTTTTTTTAAATTAAGAAATTAAAACATATATATATAAACTACGTTTTGATGCCAATTTCATTGATATAAGTAGTAAAAATGTTATTTAATAAAATTTTGAAAAATAATGCTTCAAAATGTCGTGACACGTGCACTTTAACCTACCCGGGGCGAAAAGGTTAAGTAGTATGTACAAGTCTGTTGTACACAAAAAACCATATGTGTTACAAAAGTATTTGTACTCAAGATATATCTGTGAATTGCATTTGCAAAACCACTAGAGCCTCCTAAATGCATATCTACATTTTGAGTAATGAACAGTGCATGTATAATTCATTTTGTTTTCAGTATTTCTACAAAATATTGTTTCCAAAACATACTTACCTCTTCTCACACTACAGCTATTACTTGACTGTTAGGGTTTCTTTTCCTTTGCCCATCTAAGCATCGGTGTGATTTTTTCTCGCTTTCTCCAGTCTTTTATTCCCTACTTGGTTATATCTGTCTCATGACACTCTGCGGCTATGTCAATGTGCCCTCTATCCTGGTATCGTATATAAGCACACTTATAATAATCAGATAATATTGTCACTTTTTCTCGACAAATCATTCACTAACGGGTTTCTCTGTAGCACGACCTGTGGAGATACTTTGAACATTCGTTGTGTTACCTATTTCATTTTTGTACAAAAAAAAAAACTTTTTGTTTGGCAAGCCGATAAATGGCATGAGTTCCTGGAATTAATTTATCCAGCATGGAGGCAAATCAGGTCTCTCTTATACCAACTATGATATCTAATGTTGCTCAAGGATATGTGTGTGTGTGGGAGAGACTGTCCGTGAGCTTATACATAATAAATAGTTTAAAAATCATTATAACATCCCATAGTAGTAAAAAAACACTCAATAATTTCAATAATAGTAAAAAAGAAACATTATAACATCCCATTATAGTTAAAAACCACTCTATGATGTCTGATAATAGTTAAAATTACTCTCTAATAACACATAATAGTTAAAACACACCATAACATCCCATAATAGTTTTGTCCTAAGCGATGATATATTTGTTGAGCATTACCAAAAAAAGGAGCGTGAAAGTGTCCTCAACAGTATAGCATCCCATAATAGTTAAAACTACTCTATAGCATCCCATAATAGTCAAGAACTACTGCATAACATCCCATAATAGTTTTATTGCTAAGCAAGGATATATATATTGTTGAGCATTACCAAAAAAAAGGAGCGTGAAAGTGTTCTTGACAGAGTGACAAAGGGAATAAGGCATATTCGTAGAATAATTAGTGGTAAAAATCAGTTAGATTAACTTCTAATATATAGAAAATAGCTTAATTCAGAAACAATTTAAGTTAAAATTGAATCGATGATTTTACTTTCATGATAAATTTTATGTACTTGGCTGTAGGCTAGGTGATCCCACACTACATCTTTAGGCTTATTATACCAACACTTACCACACTTATAAGGTTTCATGGCCCCCCTTGCACCCTGTCACTAAAATCATAATGGACAGACAGTAATCGAACTGTTCTATCCAGATAAATGCGTTTTGACTTTTATGACTCCTCCTACTTTGAGAAATCAAGAAAAATCAAGCGTGACGTGACGCAACACACGGGCTTTTATATAGGTTAGATACACTTACAATTTAAGAAAATGCTAACTTTTAAGTAAGAAAAAAAGAAAATAGAAGATTATATATTTGCATTATTTATACAACTGCTTGTAGCAGAGTTAGAATACATTGCTTAAGTTTGATTCTTAGACTTATTTCAGTACAAAGCCACAATTGTCAGGTTTTATGTACTAATATAATGGCACTACTAGTGAATGTAAAATCTCTTTAAATTGTAACTCCTGCTGATAGTATATATATACTGCCTTCTTAAAAAAATATTTTTTTTGTTACTCATCATGCTTTTTTGTAGTCTTTATGAAGTTGTGTGTGGATTTTTCAGTTGACATTACCATGGAAGTTCTGTCTGTTTTTCTGAGAGTTCTGGTGGCTAAACAGCCTTCTTAAGATAGTTCTCTGAAATATTCTTCATCTTTGAATAAAATTCAAGATAATTATCCTGTTTATAGTATATAATGTTTGAAAGCTGCAGTAGAATAGATTAGTCAGATGATTTTTTTGGTTGTTTTCAACAGGACTGTATATACATGTAACAAATAATAAAATAACAATGACCTGAGAAATTCTAACAGACTTTTTCAACAAAAAATTAATGTGTGTTATGTGTTAGTTTTGAATATATATATTTATGAATATGATCCATATTATGTTGTCCTACTTCACCTTAAATGTTGATGTTACTAATATGACATTTTGTTTTATTTGTGTAGAAAATTAAATCAAAAGTTCAAATCTATAAAAGGGAAGGAAAGAGTTGAAATGGAATATGAAGGAGTGAGCCAGTCGTTTGAAGACTTGAGTGATTATCCAACTATAAAAGTATCTTTTGGATCACTTGAGGAAAAGAGAGAGAATTCAGGTAATTTCCTTTCTAATACTGTGATATGAAATTATGCTGCTTTTAATTAAAGGCAATGAAAGAAAATTATGTAGATAGCTGTAAACTACAGTTACGACTTAACCTGATGATTTATATCATGGAAAATAATTTTTCCCATTAGAGTTTACACTTAATGTCACAAGTGAGTTACCTCAGGGTACAGTGTTAGGACCTTTGTTCTTTCTGATTTACATAAGTGATGTAGATGAAATAATGGACAATCAGTTACTGGGCTGGCATGGCCAGGTGGTTAGGGTGCTTGACTCGCAATCTGTGGGTTCGAATTCCTGTCCCACCAAACGTGCTCACCCTTTCAGCTGTGGAGGCATTATAAAATGATGGTCATTCCCACTATTAATTGGTAAAAGAGTAGCCCAAGAGTTTAGTGGTGGGTGGTAATGACTAGCTGCCATCCTTCTAGTCTTTCACTGCTAAATTAGGAATGACTAGTGCAGGTAGTCTATCTTTTAGTTATCTATCTTGTATTTAAGATAATAATTGTGCAACGGTAGTTCAGTGGTGAAAATATTTAAGTTTTTCCTTAGTAATTAAAAAATTGTGACCTAAACACTTATTAGTATTGGCAAACAGTATTTTAGCTGTTGATTAAATAGGCAGTGACATATTCCTGATGATTTTATATAAAGACTTAAATAAACTTGTTAAGGATGATATGAAAGTACTTTCAGACAGTGACAGCAGTTATTAAGAGTAGAAAGTTAATTATTTCTCTAGCTACAAGAATAAGTTTAAGAAATGGAAAATATTTGATAACAAGGAATCCATTTGAAAGTAATAAAGCTTTGAGATGGTTTGAATGGGTTACAGAGAAAACTTTATTACAAAGTTTAACACAGTAACAAATGTACAATATTTCAACAAGGTTTTGTCATCATCAAGTATAAGTTGTTTAGAGAACAAGGTATCTTTATGGAACAAACAGCTCCAGTCTAAACCAACACACTGGTGTGTCCAGACACATTTACCTATCTGTGTTAGCAATTTCCAGTGGTGTAACTTCTCTATTTTTCATACTGTATATACATTCCTATGTCTATCTAAACAACTTATACTTAAACAAGCTATCTTTATGGAACATACAGCTCCACTCCAAACCAACACACTGGTGTGTCCAGACACATTTACCTATCTGTGTTAGCAATTTCCAGTCGTTTAACTTCTCTATTTTTCCTACTGTATATACATTCCTATGTCTGGATCTTACATTTCTTCATGTTTGATTCTTTGTTTAAAATTACAGTGTTTTTAATAGGTATATAATGTGGTTTTTTTGTATTGCAATGGTAGTAAATATGGGAGGATTTAAATTATGTTTGTTGAATCTGGTTTGTTATTTTTTTTATGGTTTCTCCACTATAGAACTCTGGGCAGTTATTGTACATTATTTTATAAATGATGTTGGTATTGTGTGATCCTACATACTTTTTTGTTTAGTAAGGTTTTTAGTTCAGGACCATGTTTTTGAGTGAATTTAAAGTTGACAGGAATTTTGTTTACTGGAATGTTTTGTCCAAGTGTGAATTATTTTTGAACTGATCTCAGGGATAGATGGTAAACTGCAGTGTAATGTTTTGTTGTTGGTTGGCTCCTGAGTTTAGTTTGAGATTTCTGTTATTGTGACTGTGTGCAATATTTGCAATAACTAGTGGAAATTTGTTGGTTTGAGTGAAGGAATGCTTTAAAAGATTGATTTCTTCATAAGCATTGTCCACTGAACAGAGACTTAAAGCTGTGTTTATGAAGTTTTTCGTGTATTGATTTTCTGTTTGATTTATTGAGTTATTCTAGGGGATATTAAGGTAAGCGTGAGCATAGGTGCTGGGTTTGTATAATATTTAGGGGTGTCCAGCAGGGATTTTAGGCCTGCATTCTTAATTTCTGTGACTGTCAGAATAGAGAAAACAATTTATGTAAATATATTGTATGAAATGTCTACCATAATAAAATATATTGTGTTATTTTCTTTTGTTAGACACTATAGGCCTATTGCTTGTGTATGACACAGAGTTACAGCACGTTGTGATATAAAATAGTATAGATAAAGGACAAAGCTTCACTTAATACAGTAAACACTTACTGTTGATCCAAATAATTTTGAATATTAAAACAACAAAGTATCTTTTTTTTAATACAAGCCTCCATCTGTTTTCAAGAAAACATTAAAAGTTCTCCTGAACACAAAAAACACCCTACCATGCACATAAGTTATTATACCAGCATTTACTTTTAAAACAAGGAGGTTCAAGAGAATCACTGCCTGACCAAGAGTATAAACAGTATTTCAGTCTTTTTAAAGCAGCAACAAATATACAATAAATCACAATAATGAACTTCAATTAAAAATGTTGAAATAAAGTAAAAAGCAGTAAATAAGGAAAATATGTAATTACTAGCTGGAGTACCCGTCTCCTGGATGGAAGTTATGTAAATTCATGGTTAATGGAAGGTTATCTTAGGACATGAAAAGTTG